AAAATATTCTAAATAATCACTAGCTAATAAGTAATAAATGTTATCAATTATTAATATTCCATATCTATATTGAATTTGCTAACAAATAAAAAAATGCAATAGGGATGTATAAAAATATCGATATATTAAAATATCGATATACAACAATATCGATATTTTAAAATATCGATACTAAAACTATCGATTTTTTTAATACAAATACTCAAAATTTGCTAATAATAACAGCTGATAATTTTCGATAGGGATGTTCAAATATATCGATATTTTTTTTAATTATAAATATCTCATAAATTAAATACCTCATGCAAAAGACTCTAAAACCGAAATCCCAAAAATAAGATTTTTTCGACAACGAATCGACAACGGGTTACAATCAACCCATTCGGATTGATTGTAAAAAACCGCATTTGTACACGTATCGACACCAAACATCGGTATAAAACAGCAGAATTTTTTATTGCAATATTTTATTTTCATCAATGTGAAATGCCAATAATAATAATTAAACTACATATTCGAAATAATCACTAACGTTACCAATTATTAATATGACATATCTATATTGAATTGGCTAATAAATAATAGAATTATGCTAGGGATGTATAAATATATCGATATAAAAATATCGATACACTAAAATATCGATACCAAAAATATCAATTTTTTAAATACAAATATTCATAATATGTTAATAATACTAGCCAAGTAATTTTAGCTTTTTTAATTTTTGGATAAAGATGTACAAATATATCAATTTTTCAAAATATCGATATTTTCTTGTTAAATATCTCATAAAATATATAGCTCAAGCAAGTCTCTAAAGCCGAAGGCCGAAATAAGACATTTATCGTCATCACAACCGAATTACAACCGTTAAGTCAGCCACTAAAAATACCTTATCTATGGCTTTATCTCGAAACCCACCACATTCGGATTGATTGTAAAAAACCACATCTGCACGTAGCGTTACAAAACAACGGTATTTACAATACATATTTTATTTTCATCAATGCAAACTGTAAATAATTAAAATATTCTAAATAATCACTAGCTAATAAGTAATAAACGTTATCAATTATTAATAGGTTAATTTAATAACAAATTTGCGACAGGGATGTTTGAATGTATCGATATATCAAATTATCGATACCAAAACTATCGATTTTCTAAATACTCTATTTCATAAAACCCACACTTTATTTAACCGTTAACTCTCTTTCCATCACGCTTCATATCACATAATATGTATTTAACTGATTAGTTACAAATGCTAAATCAATTATTAATACTCAAGATCGTATATAGTCTGTCCAAAGAGAGTGACAGTTGTCTGCCATTTTAATTATTCACAGATAAATTAAATTTTTGTCGACAGGGATGTACAAATGTATCGACTTTTTTTTAAATATAGATAATGTTTAATATCGATAGTTTTAAAATTTCGATATCGATATACCAAATCGATATAACAAAATATCGATAAAATCTACGAAAAGAATTATTTGTATTAAATGATAAAATGTTTATAAAACTATTATTTTAAAGAAAAAATCTTAACGTTATTGTAATAAATTGTTATTATTATTTTCCCATTCATATTTTTTTTCTAAAAAGTAATAACAAACAGCATTCATGTTCTTTACCCATAAGAAAGTTTACGCCAAAAGAAAGTTTACACTAAAATAATCCATAAACCAAGGAAATTTCCGCAAATAATAAAGTTTTTAAGAATTATTGTTATATTTAAAAAATATATTTTCTAAACTTAAGGTTTAAACGACCGATGATTAATAATTTTAAGACATCCGTATATATTTGCGAATGACATCATTTTCTGCGTCATGTCTTCCAGCAATATTTATTTACTCCTTGCATATTTTACTAATTTAATTTGAAGTCACATGGAGGAAAGTTTATGCTCATATTTTCTTATACTGTTAAGAATACCAGTTACAATTATTTTATTGTCTTTATTTGCTCTAGAAGACAAGAAGTTACGATATATCCAGTCCTTAAAATGTTTGTACATATTTTTTTCAAAAAATATGTACAAAAGTCTTAAAATAGTTGTCATTAAAAGAAAATCCAGAAATCCCTATACTTCCTGACTGGAAAAGGAAATGTCAAGCAATTTCCGACAATCACTGACAAGTGAAAATGGTGAAAATCTAAACGGAAGGAAACCAGAGAGAGAGAGAGAGAGAGATTCAACGTCCTTAAATCTCATTCATGACGCTATTTTAAGAAGTAATTTTAAAGCACACGTGCTCTACCCTTCAAAAGATAAAGCTTAAGCTTCAAACTAATGCCACAGCAAATTCAATATGCATTAGATAGATAAATCATATAAAATAATAAAGGAATAGAGCTCGAAAAATTTGTACCAGATGAAAAAAAGTGTTTGCTTATTAAAAAATTATATAAGCCATGTAGTCCAGTAAATAAGGACACGAAAAGACACAAGTCTCGGCGTAAAAAAATTGTAACACCGTGCTCGGCCAGCTTTGCCCGAAAAAATGAACCTAAATGGTAGAAAAATAAGTTTTTTGCAAATATCTAGCAAAATATGCAATTTACAAATTTTTTCTTGGGATAAAAAATGAAGCTTTAAATTGAAATTACCTACAATAAAAAATCGGTAAAAAACTTTTAAGTTAAACGGTTTTATCTTAGGTACACTGAAAACTAGAAAATAATAATAACAATTAGGTATTTTGAACTTCTAGTTCAGAAATATTTTAGTACTAGGCAGAATAGCTTTTAGGCATATTAGACTAAAATAAAAACGTGGGGCCCCTCTGAAATCCTACCTATGGCAAAGCATATCTTTATACTTTGGTAGATCATGAGCTCGGCGTTCGCTGGTGAAGCCGCCACGGCTGGTTATTGATTGTCAAAATCTCCAGTTAGAATATAGTAAGTCGATGCAATCCTTAGTATAGAAGAAAGTATTACAGCAATAGTTAATGGGCCCCACGTTTTTATTTTAGTCTAATATGCCTAAAAGCTATTCTGCCTAGTACTAAAATATTTCTGAACTAGAAGTTCAAAATACCTAATTGTTATTATTATTTTCTAGTTTTCAGTGCACATAAGATAAAACCGTTTAACTTAAAAGTTTTTTTACCGATTTTTTATTTTCTAGTTTTTAGTATTTTTATTTATTGTTTCCATGTTGTTCCCACGAGTAATGGACATTTTAACGGTCGACCCCCCAGAGGTCCAGTAGAGGGGCAAGGCTATAATATACAACAAGAGGCGCCCAATCTTGAGGGGAAAATGCTTGCGACATTACATTTTTAGCCACCCTAATGCCATACAGTCCTCAGCACGTTTTAACCTATTACCTTAACTTGGGTGGTAAAGCTACCGCTAACTACGTAGGTACATCTAATCACCTATTTTTTTTATCTGTCCTTCTAACGTCACACAATCTTGGACACAACTGTTCTACAGTACTGACTACTCATGCCTTCACCTAATACGCCATTTTGTAACGACGTCCATCTTGGATTTTAAATTTTGTCATAATCACAGTATTCTACTAGTGTAACCCTTTCATTTGATACCCATATTGAGGGGGTTGTGGAACAATATGAAATCCGCCATTTTGTACCGGCGGCCATCTTAGATTTACAATGTTATTGATATTACTATATTGTATTGTCATCGGAACTAAAGGTGTGTACCAAATTTCAGATCAATCTGACAACAGGAAGGTACTTAAATTTCAATTTCTAATTTTGACCCAAATAAATAAATACCGTACGGGTCGAGCTAAATAAAACCGTTTAAAAATGGTATGGTCCTTACCATTTTTTCATAGAATTAGTAGTTCTCGAGATATTCCGCTTCAAAGATCCCTGAATTTTCTCTCCAAATCTTAACGGCTCCGAAGATAAATTTCATAAGCATATCATTGATTGATAGGACAAATTGTTTAACAACTTAGTTAAAATTTAATATTTTTTGATGAATCAAAGTTCATTTAAAAGGTAGAATCAACAGCTATCACATTTTGGAACTTGTTTGAATTTTGTCATATTTTATGATAATAAAAAAACCGGGCAATTCCTTGGTCCAAAAATTTTCAAATTTTTACAAACTTATTCCTATTTTCACTAATAATATCTTATTTGTCAAGACTTTTTTAACAGTTGTTCTTAGGGTCTCTTTAAGCAAAAAACCATTCTGTCCTATCTACAAAAATAAAGTGGTGAGGGAAAGTTAGATCTGTTTTTATTTAAATATTAATAACTCCGGACTGGGTATGCTGGCCATTTTAATTATTCACAGATAAATTGAATTTTCTATCATTTTTGACTCGTTGGACAACCTTTATTAAATTGACTAAAAAATCGAGGGATGTACAAATATATCGACTTTTCAAAATATCGGTATTGTTTAATATCGATGTTTTTTAAATATCGATATATATTTCTGGCCATTTTTTAGGCAAAGGAGGTCCTTTGGTAAAGAAATAATAACTATCCAGTCAACATGTTTATTTTTTGTCAATGATTCCAAATATCTTGAGAGCGGTTGCTTGTAGCGATTTTTACTAAGAGACCTTTTTTACGTAAAAAATGGCGGAAATATATATTTTTTTATTCAGTAGTTTAATACAGGCACAGGAAAAAAGCTATTTTCTTCAAAAGAGTTCAAAAACAAGTAGGTGGTGCCCCCTACAAATAGGAGTCATTTTGATATTAAAATCAAATTTCCCATGTTAAAAAACACCCACACACCAATTTGCGTCCAAATATCGGCTGTAGTTGAATAGTTTTTTTAAAAACATCGAAATAAAAATAAAACTTCTACACCCTGTATTTCCGAAACGAAGCATTTTAGGACATACATATTTATACGAACTTTTTACATATTTTTATCGGCAGAATATGTTTTCTAGATTACAATTCGAACCACCCTGTAGAATTATACCTTTGTATTCTCCAAATGAATAAAATAAAACATAGCATTAACCTCTCTCTAAATCTTACGTTTTTCTTCATGTTGGAAAGCCCGGTGACCAGCAATACGTCATCTCTCCCGTCCAAGTCATCCTCCCCCTCCAAACAATCAGTTAGTGAAGGACTCCTCCTCACCATAATACTCCACCCCGAAAAACTGTCACTTATACTGTCAGAAGACAACGAAAAATCGGCCGTTTTTTCACCGAATTTGATCACACTGTCCGTCGCACTGCTTACACTGCCACCGCAAAAATTCACACCCAAGATTATCATACTGATCGTCGTTTTGTATGGTTTCTAACTTTGTTTGTATTTCGTTATGAAATTAGCAGGCTAGAAAGAGATGGGTGTTCGGTATAATAGGTGGAAATCGTATAGAAATATCACGGTGGAAGTATATTTATCTCTGTTTTTTTTACGCATAGATAAGAGTATGTGATTTGATGTTAAAGTTTGCTGAAAATTAAACTAGGATGTTTATGATTATTGTCCTTATCTGATTTTAACTATTTGATATTTTAATTTAATAAAAATGGCTTTAGATTCATATGAAACTTAATTTCCACTACAGTCATCATTACAAACCCACAATAAATTAAACAAATATCAAATTCCTTCACTAAAACCCGACTAAAATACGATATGAAATTTAAGTAAAGATATTCACAGGTGAAACACATCTAAAGACTACTAGTTTGAGTTATTCAGTAACGTGCATATTATTACATCTATTGGTGCCAAAGGTTAAAACCATTAATTACATCGAAAAATACCAGTATTTTCTATATTCACAATTTTGAATAAAAAACATTGGAAGGAGTATAATGCTCATAGATAAAAGAAAAGAATCTACTATTAAGATATCTATCTTAATGATAATGATATTATGAATGAAAGATGAAAGTATCTCAAATGAAACAAGCATGCGACAAGAACAATACCATAGATAAAAGAAAATAATCTACTATTAAGATAGATATGAAACTTAATAGTAAAATTTTGGGTCAAAGCGCCCCTCCGTGTTTTTAGTGGAGACTACGTTTAACCCAGCGCCTTCGCCTTTTCTGCTGTAAATATTTTTTATGTTTATATTTGAATTTAAAGGATTTATTTTTAAAGTTACACTGATATATTAGTATATCAGAGTAACTTTAATAAAACATAAGAATATATATATTTTACAATTTATTTTTTTATTTATTTTACAGAGTTTCGTGTAAATGATCGTAAGTCGATTGGCTGTCTAATGAATAGACCAAGATTTATAGATTTTAAAGCGAACGAAAAAAAATCAAACAACGAATGCATACCATATATTTTTCTTTTATCTAAGATACATACCTTATCGTCTTTTGGAAACACGTACATTTTTGCAGTTTTTTTAGTTTCTTTGCAAGATGCAACACAACAAGAAAACACCATTTTTACAGTTAATAAATAATAAAACTATTTCTGACTATGATATTTAAAATTTAGATAGATAGAAAATTAAAAAACAAACCAGTATTTGCAAACGCAGGCCCAAATTCAATAAAAAACAAAATTTTTCCTGCGAAAATCAGGCTTTTTTCACTGAAAAGGTATTTTTTGATTTATCAGCAGTCATTGTCAAGTTGTCAGTATACAGGGTGTTTTCGAATTAGTCTAAAAAAATTATGGTGTGATTCCTCATGTGCTCTTAAAACAATTTTTATATAAAAAGTACTTCCTTTCTGATCTACAGGGTGTTAAAAATTAAAAAAATCGATTTTTTGCTTAGCATAAATGGTACACCACTGCTTTTTTAAAGAAAATATATTTTTTTCTTGACTGGCCATCCTTTTTCAACAAAATTGATCTTTTGAGTTTTTCTTGTTCATCAAACGGTTGTCGAGAAAAAAATAAATATACTTATTAAGAGCCCACCTTAATTCGTTTTCTAACGATTTTATATTTTTTAGATTAATTAGGAAACACCCTGTATATGCATATCATAGGCAACCAAATAAACTAGCAACCTCTAAAAATTATTTTTCCTACCACTAGCGACATACCGTGTTTTTAGTGTGTACTAAATTATTTTATCAAAATTTCACCATATAAGTTTCCAAGCAATGATAATGCTATCCATGTATTCATGCACTAGACATCATAAATCCTCATTTTTTAACAGTTGCGTTTGACGTTTCAATTGGCATATTTAAATATAAAAGATTTGAAATTTTGCCGATTTGTTGTACTTTTCTGAGCTTCTTTTATGATATTTATTATTTATCCTAAAATTACTTTTATTGCAATGGCACTCAGCATATGAGTTTTGCTGAGTGCAACAAATATGTTTTTTGCACATGTTGCACACAACATTTTTTCTACGATCGAATTGAAATTCTTATTTAATTGTTTATTAAAAAGTTTTTACAGCAATTCACAGAATAATATTACCACTAACAAATATTACACAATAACAAATATTTTTTAATAACTTTTTTTTGAGTTCATTTTAATTTTAATGTCGCAGTTTGATCAATTCACTAAGGTAATTGATGGACAAACTTCATTTCCAGTAGTCTTTTGAGGAATGTTGCTGCGAGGTGTCCAATACTAGTACTTGGTTTACCTTCCAAGATTTGAGCAGCTAATTCAACTGACAACTTGAAAATGATGGCAATTTTCGCTGTCAGACGACATTCATAGGCAAGTATGATAACAGATGATAACCAATTCAAAGCGCGAGGATTCGATTGCTGGGCAAAGCCAATTTATTTTTTAACTTATTAATTTACATGTGTGAAGGTGTTTTTTGCACTAGTGCAAAAAATAAGTTATTTTTGCAATATTTTTCGCTTAAATTTTGAGAACCGCTGGATCTTTTCTGGTTTTTCTTTCTTGTAAATTTAATCTACTACCTATGTTGCCATATTATGAAAATATTATATTTGTTAACTACAAATTAAAAAAAATTCCAAATAATATTAAAAATATTTCAAAAAAATTCTTTAAATTTTCAAAAAAAAGTTTCACGGAAAAAAATCATAGACGTGTTTCTGGGGTCGAAATATGCTACCCCTAAAAATATTTGCACTTATTTCAGGCTCACCCTGTATATTTCAAATCGGAAGAAGAAAAAACGAAAATATACAGGGTGTTCCATTAAAAAAAAGTGAAGTTATACATTTTTCTTAACTCTCTGATCGCTTTTTGATTGTTTTTATTTCATTTTCTGGCGGTTTAGATAAAAAAAAATTTAAATTATTCAAAAAAAATGATTTTTTTTAAATTTTCATTTAAAAAATATAATATCTTGATAATATGGCAACATAGGTAGTAGTAAGATAACTATAAGTTATTTTAGACTTATTTGAAAAACGATAAAAAGAAAATATGTTTATTTTATCGAGATCTACTAGCCCTGAAAATATTTGCACTTATTTAAGACTCATCATGGATATATTGTTATTGTTACCCTGAAAACTGCAACCTCTAAGTTAGTGGTGAGTTAGAGTATTGAAACACCCGGTATATTTAGAACAATACTAGAGTATGTCCCCGAATTGTCTTTACAAGAGGAAAAACTTTTTTATTATTGGCAATTTCAGACAAATGCTTTCTTCATAAAAATTGTTACTTGTTCTAAAATGGTTAATGTTTATACACTTTTTCAAATTCCCATACCGTTTTAGAGAAAATTACAAAAAAAAATAAAAATATGGTTGATTTTTTCCTAAAAATCAAAAGGCGTTTCTATTAGTGATGGGAATAATCGAATAATTTTCACCATCGAATAATTAGTAATAATTCATATTTCACAATCGAATTAATAATTCGAATTATTTAGTAGTATCTTGTAGTATTATAAATTTAACCTAAAAATAAATTCGTCCCAGCTAGTGCTCGTCTAGGGGCTATTTTAAACAAATTCTGAACCATTGCCATACCTATATTCTATCACTGAATAAAAAATAAAAAAAAATATTCTTTATTCAATGTATTCTATTAACTGTGCCGAAGCCGTTTAATAAATTAAACCATAATTTAAAGTTTTAAATTTAAAAGTGCCGAGTTTATGATTGTTTCAGTTCCTATTGAAAAGCTCATATCTGAAATAAAAGCTTCTTCTAAAACGATATAAGTATGTCCTTGTTTACGTGCGGTTCGTATTTCTTTTTATTTTATCAGTTGCAATCAATAATTATTTAGATAAAAGAAGAAAATTAATTTTAGTGTTCGGCAGGTGTTCGGTGAAATTTGGGTGAGATGGAAATGAAATGAACCAAATAATAGTAGAATTCTTTCGTTCTGAACGAAATGAAAATTTTCACTTAAACTTATTCATTCCTACGTGGTATAGGAAATAATGATTTCTGGATTTTTCTATATCGGATCGTTCCTTTCTTTGTCGATTCCCTTTATAAATCAGTTTAAGTGAAAATTTTCAGTTCGTTCAGAACGAAAGAATACTACTAATAGTACTATACTAATTACTAATATTCGTATTCGTCCATAAGAGGTTATGTTTTATGTTCCTTTGTAATTCGGTTACCACAGATATAATATAAAATACTACTAATTTTTATCTCGATTATATCGAAAAAGATAATTCGAATTAGTTAGTTTTAATTTACTATCGAATTAGTCGTATTATTTAATTCGAATTTTCCCAACACTTGTTTCCATGGAAATATAATTTCGATTTCATTCTTTGATAGATTGATGGTTATTATATCACCCTTTCCGTAGCATTCAACTAAATAAATTTAGTGCTTCTTTAACATTTTAAAACAGCAAAAAATATGAAGTTAATAAAAATTCTACCAATAACAATCTATCATAGCATGAAAATGAAATTGTATTACCATAGAAACACATTTTGATTTTTAGGACAGGAAAAAATTCAACTATATTTTCATGTTTTTTTTCAATTTTCTCTAAAACGGCATGGAAATTTGTAAAAGTATAAATGGGATTAGTCATTTTAGAACAAGCAAAATTTTTTATGAAGAATGCATTTTTCTCAAAGTGTCAATAATAAAAAAGTTTTTCCTCTTGTAAAGACAATCCGGGGGCATACTGCATACAAAAAAATTCATAAGTCTGTGAAACGCTAAAAAAACAATTTTGCAAACCCCTCTCTATCAAAAAAAATGAAAAACTCAAAATTTCCACATTTTTTCCGAACAACTTCCACCTCTTTCTACAGCATTAAAAGAACGAAAAAAAACACTATAAATCTTTTACCAATAACAGAACTATCACTCAAACCCTTTCTCGAAAAACGAGAGTACACCGTTCACTGGCGACGACTCGAAGACGCGTCCGCTGTTTCTTTTCCAGACGGAATCGATAAGTCTGGCCCGAGCTTCCAGAGTGCACTAACCTAAGCGAAGAGATCCAGACCAGACTGGACTAATCGGGGAAAGGAGTTCCCCGAGGAGACGGAAAATGCGGCGCCCAAGGGATCAGGCGTCGCGTCGGAGGATGTGAGAATAGACGAATTTTGGTATAGTGCAACCAGAAATTCTTGAAAGAGGAACATGACATTGGATATTCAACACAAAAACTGCCGTCTATTGTGTCCCCCTTTCTTGAATAACTCATCATACAGTCTCAGGACGTTGACAAAAGCCAGCATCTGAGAAGGTTTTACAGAGGTTAGTTCTTCATCTCCGATATCGGTCGTACCAACATTTATGGCACGAATGGTTGTCGTCTCGGCGCACTCAATGATTAAGTGTTCTGGTGTTTCCCCATTTTCCACACAGAATCTGTATTCGCCCTTGTTTCTTAGCTTCAATCTTCTGAGGTATTCATTTAGCAGACATGGTCTTGTTAAAAACCCTGTGACAATCCGAAGATTGTTACTCGTGAAATTTCATCGAGTGTCTTACACCCTGGAGGATTCCCTTTTACTTCCCTAACTTTTTCAGTGTTGGCAAAACGACAGTTTTGTTACAAAACTCTTGAATAATCCTCTTAGTTCTTTAGACGGTCTTCCGTCTTTTCAGTTAAAAAAAATCGGTAAAAAACTTTTAAGTTAAACGGTTTTATCTTATGTGCACTGAAAACTAGAAAATAATAATAACAATTAGGTATTTTGAACTTCTAGTTCAGAAATATTTTAGTACTAGGCAGAATAGCTTTTAGGCATATTAGACAAAAATAAAAACGTGGGGCCCATTAACTATTGCTGTAATACTTTCTTCTATACTAAGTGTGGATTGCATCGACTTACTATAATCGTAACTGGAGATTTTGGCAATCAATAACCAGCCGTGGCGGCTTCACCAGCGAACGCCGAGCTCATGATCTACCAAAGTATAAAGATATGCTTTGCCATAGGTAGGATTTCAGAGGGGCCCCATGTTTTTATTTTAGTCTAATATGCCTAAAAGCTATTCTGCCTAGTACTAAAATATTTCTGGACTAGAAGTTCAAAATACCTAATTGTAACTAAACCCGGGACTGTAGTATCAAAATTTGAATATTTCTCACGGTTTCTTAGATACCCTATAGAAACAACCAAAATGGTCCACCCTGTACACACGAGATTTTAATACATACGTTTTGAGTGAACAGATAAGATTGACAGGTAAAACGTTATCTGTAGACAAGACTTTATCTTTAACTGTAAATCACTGACATATTTACCTCTGTGTACAAGATTTGCGATATGTCTTTTTAAGGAATAATTTTTTCTAAGAAATTTTACATCTTTTTCATCGATTTTAAAAAAAAAAAATATGTTAAGGTACTCGTAAGTAAAGGCACAACTTATTCGGTCCGGCCGGTCATCTTAAATTTACTTATTTATCTGAGTTTTGTGAACTGAATCTATTTGTGGTGTATCTCTAAATCTACAAACTCTATGGAAGTCGTCGGCGTGTGGCAGATTCCTATTTTCCAAAAAAACAAAAGCCTTGCTTCGTTGAAAAACGGATTTTAAGTTATTTCGGAAGTAGATCATTAAAATTTCTCACTTTATAAAACCAAAAAAAACACTAGGATCCAGACGGACAAAATCAAAAAATTAGGCGAAAAATGTAGTAGCCTTTCCTTCATTTCTAGGAATGTATTTACCAACAAAAATATGTCTCCCCCACCCCTCGTTGGAAGCAAAAAAAAAGAAGAAACCATCTAAAACATCTCTCTTTTTTTAACAGAGACGTCCATTATAATCCTAGAAGAAAAAGTCGCGAAATAAGTGGACTTTTTTTGCTTTAAATGTTACCTGATAATAACGAGTATCTATCCAAAATATTGTAAATATACATGTAAATCAGAAAACAAATTCTCTTGTCGGACAGACATTGTATTTTCATTCTTCCTGAAACTTCCTGAAAGGGGAGGACTTCTATAGATAAGACAACTTTTATTTTTTTGGCTGCTAAATATAAAAGCTTTAAAAGGTGCGCATTTATTTAGTCTTTATCTTCAGGGGAGGCCTATTTTTACCTTGAAAGAGATTGAAAGCTATCGAAACGTTTTTTCGACAAGGTAAGAAATATGCGATCCGTTACAGTGGCAGCGTCTAAATTAAAAATCTCGTCAATATTTTTATTAATTACTAATCTGAGTATAACTTGACTTTTTTTGTTTATTTAGATGGTCAAACAGCAATGGGTTGGTCATCTAGCAAGCATTAGAGGGAGAGAATTTAAAAATTTCAATAATATACAGTGGTGGCCAAAAGTATGGAAATTTTTTACTTTTTAAAATATCACAGAAAATATTGCTATGCTTAAACTCTCAAGAATATAAATGAACAGCTTATCAGCAAATAAAAGTATTCCAAAAATTACACAGCGAAAAAAATCTGTTTAGCAGTTTTTGTAGGAGAACAATAGATTTCTTGTGGCCAAAAGTATGGAAACCATAAATAAATACATTAAAATTATTCAGTTTAAGCTGATAAACGGTACGATTTGCTTCAGATAAATATAAACATCATGCCCAAGTCTAAATATTTCTCTACGGATTTAAAAAATAAAATAGTTGAATTATACAAGAGCGGTTATAAACAAATTCAAATAAGTAAAAATTTAAACATTTTAAAAGGCACCGTTTCGAAAATAATTCGTAAATTTAATAAAACAGGGAACGTTTCAACAGCTTTTAAGTCAGGAAGACCAAGAAAGTTGTGCAACAGGACAATGAAAGTAATGAAGAGAATATCAATGGGAGATCCAAGAAAAACGACGTTTCTCGAGAAATGGGTGAAAGGGGAATATCGGTGTCTACACGCACGGTGAGAAGAAGGTTGGATGACATGGGACTTTTTGGAAGAGTTGCGGTGAAGAAACCACTAATATCAAAGAAAAATAGGATGGCCCGCTTTAAATTTGCTCAAGATCATCTCACCTGGTCTTATCAGAAATGGAATACTATACTGTTTAGCGACGAAAGCAAGTTTCAACTGTTTGGTAGTGACGGGAGACGTTATGTCCGAAGACCAAAAGGTACACGGTACAGCCATAACTACCAGATGCCCACAGTAAAAAATGGGGTGGGAGTATAATGGTATGGGGGTATTTTTCTCGCTCAGGTGTTGGTCCTCTTGTTAAAATTGATGGGATAGTGGACCGTTTTTTGTACAAAGACATATTGGAGAATAATATGCTGCCTCATGCTAATGAAGAAATGCCACTCAGATGGTTGTTCCAGCAAGACAATGATCCCAAGCACAAATCTCGGTTTGTTCAAAATTGGTTAAATGAACATAATGTTCCACTAATGGATTGGCCCTCACAGTCTCCGGATCTTAACCCCATAGAAAATTTATGGGACCATTTGGATAGCAAAATTCGAAGCCATTCTATTTCAAATAAAAATGAACTATGGGAAGTGCTAAAAACTGAATGGGCGGCCATTTCCAGTAAAGATTGTACGAGATTGATCAATTCGATGCCACGAAGATGTAGAGAAGTAATTAATTCAAAGGGATATTCCACTAAATATTAGTAATCTTTATATTATCTTGAATTTTAATAAACATTCTTCTTAAGTTTCCATACTTTTGACCCAGAAAATATTCATAATTTTTTATATATTTTTTGATAGCTGTAATTTTTTATTTAAATGTATTAGGTTTTGTAGGAAATTATTTGTAGGTCACGATTATATAAGTCGTTTTATTTCATATTTTAATTTCTCAGCATAAATGACAAATTAAAAAAGTTTCCATACTTTTGGCTATCACTGTATTTATAGTGTTTCATTTAAAGTACCCCAAACAAATTTCACTGACATCGCTAAATACTCTCAAATTTTAACACCATTTTAACACTTCCCATATGACAGACAATAACTGTCACTGTCATATATCTCATTTCATTGGACAGACTATAGTAATCACCAATCTGACACTTTATGTGTATACGTTCATTTAATAAAATATCATTCACCAATACAAAACTACAAGAGCTCTAAAAGTGTAATACAAAAAAGTTTCGTACGCCTCTGTTTTCCACGTGTTAATCACCTAGGAAAGAAAGACGCGTTGAGCCAAAGCTTCCTTCCTCCCATTTAGGGGGTCGTCGACTGAGAAGACAAAACATTTCCAGACATTGTTGTCTGGAAATTAAAGACATTGAATGGGAAGGATTTTTTTCTGAATGATATGATGAAATATAAAGATGAAAAGTCGGTTTGAAAATCTGATAACACAAAAAAGTTGGGTGGGCATCAAAATGCTCAAAAACAGCAATAAATTGTGCAAGTGCTTCCAAGTTTGCCTCCATTTAACTGACCGCGTCTTCCCCTAGGAGATGCATGACCTTGTTGTTGGTGGGGAAGCTCCTGGTCAGGTGCTGGGGGGAATCCCCTCTAGCACTTGGCTTGGTCTAAGAAGCATCTCACTCATCGTCTTGTCCCTGACTGTAGTGTCGTGGCCAGGGAATTGCACCAAGACATATAACGATACCGGGCGGGGCTACGGACAGCCTCAACCTTGGGGCACCGGGGGTCACCCCATTGTATTTTACCCCTTACTTCTACATGCGGGGCTCTGTAGAAGTGGACCGACTGTCCCTAGCGACTCATAGGAACACTATTTGATCTGATAATAATAGTAATAAAAACATCACCGGTGAAGCTGTGGGGAAACCCCCTAGCGACACTGGGCACAGTAACAATGAAAGTTCCAAGGGGCCAAACCCAAAGAGAACTACAGGAGAGGTGGCTGACACTTGCGTGAAACCATCCTCCGCAAGTGGCATACAAGCTACCACCTCCTCCAAGGGTCGGGAGCCTACCTCCTACTCTAAACCCAACAGGCGACACAAGCTACCGTTTCGTCTACCCGGCCTGGGTCGTAGCTCCTCGACTGTGAGGGACA